GGTGCACTGTAGCAGTGCACCACCGGGCCGGCCCAATATGGATGAACTTTAAAATCAATATGCTGAATGAGAGAATCTAGTCACAGTAGACCACATCTTATTACACAGAAGACCAAATCTTAATCATTTATATGAAATATCAAGAATAAGCAAATCTGTATAGAAAGTACATTAGTGATTGTTTAGGGCTTGGTGGGGTCTGAGGGGGTAGGCATATGATAGATAACATATGTGGGGTTTCTTTTTTCAGGTGAAGAAAATGTTCTGAAATTGACCGTGGGATGGTTGCACGTACCTGTAACTATACTAAAACACTGAATTTACTCATTTGTACAACTTAAATGGTAAATTGTATCTCAATAAAATTGTTATAAACAATCAAAAACTTTTGCTCACTGATAAATAAAAAAGCTAGCCATAGACTAAGAAAAATTACTAATGAAGGATTTGTAGCCTGAATATGCAAAGAATTCTTGAAAGTCAAGAATAAATAGAAAAATAGCCTGATTTTCTTTTAAAAGTAGGCAGATTTTATCACACACTTCACAAGAGAAGATATTCAAAAGGCAAATAAACTCATGAAAACATGCCCAACTCCATTAATCATTAGGGAAATTTAAGTTAAAGCAATCCTGCTCAGATCTAGTTTGTGGCGACATGGCTAAATGTGCCAAGAAGGCCTGGATCTTTGGTGAATACAGGACACGCTATGGTGACTCCCTGCGGAAAATGGCAAAGAAAACTGAAATCAGCCAGCCCGCCAAGTACACTTACTCCTTTTGTGGCAAAACCAAGATGAGGAGACGAGCTGTGGGGACCAGGCACTGTGGTTCTTCCATGAAAATGGTGGCTGGCAGTGTCTGGACCTATGACACCTCTTCTGCTGTCACGGTGAAGTTTGCCGTCAGAAAGCGGGAGGAATCGAAAGACCAGCAGAAGCGCCACCGTTTGAGACATCACTAGTCTATAATAAATGGGTTAATTTATATGACGTAAATAAATAGAAGAATAAATGAATAAATAAATAAATAAATAAACAAATAAATAAATCACACTCCTTAGTATTTCGCACTTTATTCCAATAGCTTTCTTCCATCAATTTATATTTTATTATATTAATAAAATATATATATATTCCATACATTCCAACTTTTGTTGGAAGTTGTTGGGTCATTTTGTTAATAAATATTTTTTTAATTAAAATATAAAATATTTCTGTTGGAATTTTGATTGAATAAAAGAAAATGAAAATAACATTGAATTTCTACTAGAATTTCCAGTAGGTTAAAAATATTCATAGGAAATAACAAAAGCAAATATATCAAAATTTTACTGATATTTTTCTTTAAGTTGTGAGATTGAGTTACTTTTTCAAACTTCCAAATTTTTCCATACTACACATGTATTACTTTTACCATTTTAAAAATTTGTTTTTAAAGAGACAAATTAACTAACTACTCTTAAAAAAAATTTATCTTAAGATTTACTTATTCTAGGTAACCACAAAAAAAAAAGTTACTCAGGAAAAAAGGTGGTAGATTCTGAGGGAGAGTAAAAGACGAAAAGTGAAATAGGATGCAGAAGAGAGGCTTTGGAAGAAAACATACAGTCTGCGTGGCCCCCCAGGAAGTTACCTAGCCCTCAGTGAGGGCTTGCTGAACGCCAAAGCTACCTTTGAGTTAGGTAACTTGTCATCCCCATCTTACAGATGAGGAAAGTGAGGCTGACAGAGAATAACTTGCTTGAGCTGACAGGCAGAAATGTCTGGAATCTAGCCCAGGAGGTCCAGGTCCAGAGTCCAAACCCCCCGCCCCCCAGCACCCTGTCGACCATAAATGGGAGAGCTAGAAAACAAAGCAGTCCTAGGCACAGCAGCTCATGGGCAGCAACTTCTCAGTGCTTCAGCTTTACTGAATGTAACAACAGTGTCAGCTTCAAAAAAGAGAATTAAATGAGGAAGTACAAGATGATCACTCAATAAATGTCAGCTATTATTATTAGTTGTCCCATGTAATAAAGTAGTATTAAAAATATGTCTTCTTATTTAGATGGCTTATATTGATTGTGTGCCACATGCCTGGCATGTGCCAACAACTTTCCAGATGTTGAGGAGGGTGCTATTATATTCCCCATTTACAGAGAAGGAAACTGAGGCAACAGCATAAATAGTATGCTCAAAATCTCACAGCTGTTACGTGAGCAGAGCATCTGACTCCAGGGTCTACATTCTTACCCAAACTTATCTCATATAGAAGAATATAACACCTGTGGTTTCTTCTGAATTTCAAGGAAATTTATTTGTATAAATTTTGTTTACATGTAGTGGTATGACTTAAAGCTATACTTGCTTCATTAACTGGCCCATTGTTCCAAGGTATAAGAGAAGGACTCTTACCAAGTTTTATTTTCATTAGTAAACTTGAATGTGCCCATCTTATTATGGCAGATCTTCCCAGTTCTGGGAAGAAACAAAGAGCCCATGGATTTGATTAACACTGTTGCTTTCTGAAAAGTTCTCACCAAAGCATCATTTTTTTCTTTTAAGTTATTTGTGAAGAAGTCATCCAATTCAATGTTTCAAGTCAGCCTCAAAATACCTGGCACATAGTAGAAAATCAATGAATGTTAATTGAATTAATGAGAAATAATCCCCCAAATAATTTCACACATGAAGACATGTAACCAAACTACTCTGTTAAAGCATTTGCTTAAATGTAAATAAAATAATTTTATATTAAAATGTTATGACTTGTAAATATAAGCTTTTGGTAAACACTCTAACAGAAGTCTTTTTCTACGAATATTTGCTACTCTTTTCGATGACCAATGATGAGACTTATCTGTTAGAATCATAAAAGCGAATATCTAATTATATCTCATTTTATAAGTGTGGAGTCAGGACCAGAGAGGTGAAGTGATATTTTCAAGGAAACACAAGTTAGTGGTAGGGTAGAAATGTGCAAGCCTTCAGTTTTCTCACAGCCCCAGTCCAACACAATTTCAACCACCAGCCTGATAGTAGGGTGGTGACATCACCAAAGGTTTCTTCTTAATTTTATAAGGAAAGAAAAGGTAAGTGGAATAAGGACTTCTGACAATTCTCTCCTTCTTAAAGCAACTAGAACACTGGCAAAAACTGTCAGGATCAACTTTTCTCAAACTCTGGAAATTAACCAAAGGCTTTCAGCAATTTGAGACTTTATTCAAGAAAAATGGTCGTCAGGAAGGACAGCAATTTTCATGGTGGTTTAAATTGCCCTATTTCCCTCCCTTCTCCCCAGATCTGTAGTAACTTGAACCAACATTCCAGAATCATGGTAAAAACAAGCATCCTGGCAGCCACCAGAGGAGACTGACCACAGTTGGAATTCCCTCAACGTCCCAGCCCCAGACACTGTCATTGCCCTGCCTGGTGGTTTCCTAGAAGACACTACTTGCAAGTCTGTCTTTATTTGGCCTAATCTGGGGCTTGTCCAGTGACAAAGGCTTTTCTGCAGGGGCACTTGTCAAAAACAATTAGTGACAATTGTTTAAAATCGTAGCTATCTGAAGCACTGGATAATGATGCAGACAATATACTGGAGCAAATATTATTCTGGCCCAAAAGCTTAAAAAAGAGAAGCTGGATATGTACTATCCATAGAAATGTACTATCCATAGGAACGTTGAAAAGCTCCCACAGATTCCTGTAAATCTAGAAAGACATGCATCTGTGAAGGGCTGTTCACATAACCATGGCTGTGTGTTTGGTCAGGAAAGAACCAGAGAACGCCCTAAGGTCTCACCTCCGACTGACTCTGAGGCTCTGTGCATGCAGGTGGAGAAGACTAACACAGAGTTGTCAGCCTCCTGTCTGAACATTGAAGACGTGCCCCTAAAAGCACACAGAAACCCATCGAAAAGACTGGGAGACTGGTTCTAGGCGTTTAAGGAAATCTCTGTCAAATCATTAACTGACCACCAAGGTTGCCAAAGACTTCGGTGGCCACACACAACTGAGAATACATACTTTACTGAAAGCATTCAGAAAAGTCGTTTAACCACCAAACAACAATAACCACAAAAGGAAAGAGTAAGAAGAACAAATACTAGGAAGAGGACTGAAGAATCTGATGTCCAGACTTGCCACATTATATTATTTTATGTGTCTGTATTTTTAGCAAAAAAACTGTAAGATATGCAAAGAAACAAGAAAGTATGGCCCAAACACACGCAATCCATCGACACTGTCTCTGAGAGAGCCCAGACTCACTAGACAATGATTTTAAGCCAGCTATTTTAAATTTATTCAAGAACCATGTCCAAAGAACTAAAGGAAAGTCTGAGGAATGTCTCACCAAATAGAAAATGTCAATAAAGAGGTAGAAAATACAATTTTTTAAAAAAAGAAATTCTGGAGTTGAAAATACAATTACTGAAATAAAAAGTTAACTGGAAGGTCTCATTCGCAGATATGAACACGCAGAAGAAAGAATCAGAAAACTTACACATAGGTTGAGACTATCCAGTCTGAGGAACAGAAAGAAAAACAGAATGAAATAAAATGAACAGAGCCTCAGAGGCCTGAGGGACATCGCCAAGCAGCCTGTAGGTCCCGTATACATTATGGGGCTTCCAGAAGGAAAACAGAGGGAGGCAGAATGAAAACCTGAACAAACAATGGGTAAAATTTTCCAAATTTGATGAAAAGCACACATCTAAGAAAGTCAGGTGACTCTAAGGGCAGAAACATCATAATTAAACTGTTAAAAGCCAAAGCCAAAGAGAGAATCTTGAAAGCAGCAAGAGAGAAGTAATTCATCCTATGCAAGGGATCCTCAATAAGATTAACGGGTGATTTCTTGTAGAAGTCAAGGAAGCCAGAAGGCAGTGGGATCACATATTCAAGGGACTGGAGGAGACATATTCAAAGGACTGGAGGAAATAAACAGTCAACAAAGAATTCTAGATCCAGAACAATGGGGGCTGTCGAACAGGGCACACTCGCAGCCTCTCCGGGTAGCCTGGATTTCTCACGCATGATGGCTAACTTCCCAGAGCATTCAAGAAGCCCAGGTGGAAGCTGCAAGGCTCCTTCTGACATCAACGTGGAAGTCGCACGGTATCTCTTCCACAGTATTCTATTGGTTGAATCAAGTGACAAAGTCAGCTCAGATTCAAGGGTAGGGAACTACACAAAGGTGGGGAAGCTAGGAGGTATAGTTCATTGTGGAAGAAGACACCTTTGGAGAAATCACACCTTGAGAAAACAACTGGAATTGNTGGTTCTAGGCGTTTAAGGAAATCTCTGTCAAATCATTAACTGACCACCAAGGTTGCCAAAGACTTCGGTGGCCACACACAACTGAGAATACATACTTTACTGAAAGCATTCAGAAAAGTCGTTTAACCACCAAACAACAATAACCACAAAAGGAAAGAGTAAGAAGAACAAATACTAGGAAGAGGACTGAAGAATCTGATGTCCAGACTTGCCACATTATATTATTTTATGTGTCTGTATTTTTAGCAAAAAAACTGTAAGATATGCAAAGAAACAAGAAAGTATGGCCCAAACACACGCAATCCATCGGCACTGTCTCTGAGAGAGCCCAGACTCACTAGACAATGATTTTAAGCCAGCTATTTTAAATATATTCAAGAAATTAAAGGGAACCATGTCCAAAGAACTAAAGGAAAGTCTGAGGAATGTCTCACCAAATAGAAAATGTCAATAAAGAGGTAGAAAATACAATTTTTTAAAAAAAGAAATTCTGGAGTTGAAAATACAATTACTGAAATAAAAAGTTAACTGGAAGGTCTCATTCGCAGATATGAACACGCAGAAGAAAGAATCAGAAAACTTATACACAGGTTGAGACTATCCAGTCTGAGGAACAGAAAGAAAAACAGAATGAAATAAAATGAACAGAGCCTCAGAGGCCTGAGGGACATCGCCAAGCGGCCTGTAGGTCCCGTATACA